CGGGGTGCTGGTGACCTCGCTGCGCGACAAGGTGCTGGAGAATGTGTTGAGTGTGAACAAGGGCTGGGTGGCGGACGAGGACGAGAGGCGAACCAAACTTGCGAACGTCAATCTATTCCTACATGCGCTAAATCTTGATTCTTCCCAGATTACGCTTTAGCCTGTAGCCCGATATATCTAGATCTGATAATACCAAAGCCTTGACTTGATTTCCTCTTTTTCTTCTTCTTACTTTTGTCCTGCGCGGAAGGCAATGACAGACAAGCCACAACAATAGTCCAAAAATAACTTGTCATCGACGTGGAAGCTCTCAGTTTCTCAAATCCATTCATTGGCCTCCGATACCCGGTCTGTCGTGCTGGCTGCAAACCTGGACCTATGCTTTCATTCTGTACATTCGTCCTATTTTTCCTGAGTCTCTCAGGCCTTCTGCATGCCAAATCCAGCGGCGGAGACTCTGTTCTCGTCGTGGTTGAGGAATCGCACAAGAAGGACTTCAGTATCTTCTTTGACAACCTGAAAGGTGTGCTGGACGCGTAACCCATTGAACTCGACTGACCCCTGGCTAGAGCAGGGATATAGCCTCACATTCCGCGGACCTAAAGACGAGAAACCAGTCGTCGTTGAGTACGATGTTCCAACATTCTCTCACATTATCGTCCTCGCATCCGAGTCCAAAAGTGAGTGTCCCGTCTGCCGAATATGCATGAAATTTACTCCAGGCGCCAGACTTGGGCAAGGATATCACACCACAGACTCTAGTTGAGCTTCTGTCCGGCGGCACAAACCTGCTCCTCGCGCTTTCCCCCAAGCAAACACCGCTGTCCTCCCTGGCGTCCGAGTTCTCTCTCATCCTCCCGCCTCCCGGCACGCCCTTGGTCTCGTTCTTCCCTGAGCGCAAGGATCCGCCGTCCGTGATCCCCATCGACGCGCCAGCGTCATCTCTCATCGTGTCCCCCAAGACGTCGCCCATATGGTTCTCCGGCATCCCATTCGCGCTTGGAACTAACCCGTTCCTCGTGCCCATTCTGAACGCGCCGCCTGAGAGCTTCGCCGCGGACTCGGAGGGCGGCGCTGACGTCCTGGTCGACGCAACCGAGAAAGGCGGCGAGGGTCTTTGGGCCGGCAGCCAGCTCGCCGTAGTGGCCGGTTTCCAGGCTCTTGGCGGTGCTCGGGTGACCTGGGTTGGAGGAGCCGACCTGTTCAGTGATAAGTTTGCCAAGAAGGAAGTGTCAAAGTGCGTTTTTCGGTTTCGCGTATGACCGTGGTACTCAACTGCTCTAGGGGAGTCAAGTCCGGCAACACTCAGTTCGCGCGCGACGTCGCGGCGTGGACGTTCCAGGAGTCGCTCGTCTTGCGCATCGACAGCACCACTCACCACCTCGTCAACTCGACGGCCTCGTTAGATCAGTATACCACCAACGACAATATTGTGAGTGCCGCCAGTATTGCTTTTTGACAACTCTCGAACATATTCCAGGTTTACACCGCTCAAATATCGCGCTTCAACGCCAAAACGGCCACCTGGGAGCCATATTCCGGCATCGAGGACATGCAGCTCGAGTTTACCATGCTGGATCCCCACATTCGCACTGCTCTTCCACCAGTGCCTGGGTCACCCGGCACGTACTCTGTTACATTCCGCGCCCCAGATCGCCACGGAGTATTCAAATTCGTTATCGACTATAAACGAAAAGGGTACGGTTTTGTTTCCTTGTCATTTGACGGCTCTGACGTTGCGTGTAGATGGACGCACCTCCACAGCTCGACCACCGTCGCTGTCGTCCCTCCCCGGCACGATGGTTACCCACGGTTCCTCAGTGCTGCGTGGCCATACTACGCCGGTGCTATCAGCACCAGCGTCGGATTCTTTGTGTTCTCTGCTGCTTGGCTGGCGGGCGAGTCGCGCGAGAAAAAAGCAAAAGGGGGGAAGGCGCAGTAAGGACATTTAGACGTCGATTGTACTATTGCTCTCAAACCAAGCTTTGCTATTAATTATCACGCGGGGGAGTGCATTTGAGGAGGGGGATCATCAGTGGTCGTTATTTATGGGTGGGTGGAAGGCATTAAGTTCCATTCTATGTAATAGACTCGCGAAAAGAGGGACAAAGTCGAATAAGTAAAATAGGATGCCTCTATTCTTTGCAAAAGATCAGTTGCACGTTCGTGAGAGCGAATGAAAGGAACCCACGTTTTTGAGCGCAAGAGACTCGGGATTACTTGCCACCGGTCGTGCCCATGCCCATGGCGGCCTTGAACGAGTCGTAGATCCACCATTGGAAGCCAGTGAGGGTACCTGGAACGATCATGAATATTTAGAGCAGAGCGAGGAGACTCGGACGCACCAATCATGACAACACGAGTTGGCAGTCCTTTCGTCGCAAGGGAACCGATTCCAACCTCTTTGGCGATCTGGCCAACGGATTTGCCCTTGTTCTCTGCTTTACCGAGGAGAGAAACGAGCGAGTCGGCCGGGTGGGAGACGATAGCGCAGACAACACCAGCGAGGTAACCGGATGCGAAGGTGACACCGAGCTGGGTGGTCTTTGCATAGCTGTCCTTGGGCTCGGTGAAGACGTGGGTGTAGAACAACTGGACGATCTTCTCGAAGAAGAAGAACTTGGCCATGGTGTACGGGATCTTCAAGTTCCATAATGATTAACGGGGCCCACGCGAATAAAAAGATCCGACACAAACCTGACGCGACCATAGAGGACCGATGGAGCCGAAGGGGAAGCGGGTCTCAGCTTTGGTGGCGCGCATCTGTGCGAGGGCAGCTCCAAAGCCGGTGGGGAAGGTTCCGGTCGCGCTGGTCTGGATCTTGACCTTTGTCATCTCCAGAGGGCAGAGGGCGATGTCGGCAAAGACTTCTGCGGAGGCGGAACCGGCGAGCCAGATTGCGGGCTTGTACTTGTTGGACATCTCCTCGCCAGCGAGGTTCATGTAGGCATCCTTGAACACTTCGTAGAGACCGTACTTGAACATTCCCTGGAGAGAGTAGCCGACGAAGGTGGGCCCGAAGCCTTTCCAGATACCGGTCTGCCCCTCCTCCTTGACGAGAAGGCTCAAGGAAGGGAAGAGGCCCTTGTACTTGAGGGGGTTGACCTGTTTGGAAAAAAAACGGAAAAACGTGAGCCAGATGAAAAAAACGGACGGTTTCATTCCACTGACCTGCATGTTACACTTTGCGACATCGAGGGGAGTGATACCGGCGTGGGTGATGCCACAGGCAAGAACACCACCGAGCATGCACTTTGCGTAGTAGCTCGCGTCATGGGGAACAGGTCCAAGAAGCCTGCAAAAGGAATAAGGGAGGTAGAATAGAGGACTAGACTACGTTACAGACCTGGCGTCCCATTTTCCGAGCGAAGGGGAGGAGGACATGGCGGTCGTCTAGATGGAGTCTAGGTGAAGAGGATTTTCTCGCTTTGCTGGCTCAGGCCCGACCTGTTCCGCTTTGCTGTTGTTGATCTCCGAATCTACTCCGACCCGGAACCACAAACTCCCGTCGTGTCAGCAAGAGCTTGTAGTCCCGCAACGGCGAAGACGCGCCGCGCACTACGCGCCTCAGGTCGCGCCTTAGTATTTATTTCAAAATCGCGGTCATGTGTCGCAAGTCGATATTCAAACCAAATTCTAACCGCGACCGCGCCGCTTTCGTCCGCTGTTATGCTGCTGCTGCAACCTGCCTAATAGTAATACTATGCGACGCGCTGAACGTCACACCGCCTGCTGCTATGCTCATATACGGCCCCTGCCTCCCAATGCTGCCTCGCTGATATTATATCTAATTGTGCTGCTCGGCGTCTCAACGCCGTCTCTTCCCTACGGGCCGTACCACTTGACGCACTTCCGCCCCACCGACTCTACGCCCTCCCATTGTACCTACCACCGACAACTCGTGTCCTTGCAGTCGCGCTACAACATGTGCTTGCTTTCAGTATTATTATCTATGTGCCTGCGCCGCGCAAGCGCTGCGCCTGACTCCCAGACCTATGCTACCTCGGGTTCCGGCTAACGACCGCGCCCAATTGTCTGTCATCAGCCACCGAAGGCCGCTACATCACTTATCACTTGTCAGCGGGAGTCCTGCTCGTCTGCTTCGTGGTGTTTGTCCGCCCTTCGATCGCGCCGTTATTGCTCGTGGCTTAGAACCGCCGACCTGCTTCTTGCTTGCCCATATTCAATCACGCCGCTTGTTCATTACCTGTCTCCTCCACCTGCGTCGTCTGTGCTCTTTCTGTGCCGCTGGTCTCCAACGTGGTCGACTACGAACGCGTTCCTCGCGCGGATCCTCGCCAGCCTGGCTGGCGGCGCCTGACCACCTGGGTGATTGGACCTTCTGTGTTCCGCTTCATCTCAGCGCAGGAGTAATTGCGTCTTTTCGTCTTCTCCAATCCTCTGTTCTTGTCTTGCTTGAGGTATTCCATTCCGAGCTGGCCGGGATACGTCGGCTGCTTTTCGTCTTTCAGCTCTCCTGGGGTTTCGTTCTATGTTTGAAGGCTCAGGACTGGGGAGGGAAAGACCGGGTCGCTGCCGGACGTTAGTAGCTCCCAGAGGGAGAGTAGGTCAGTTCATTTGGAATTCCATGCTATTGGACCTTACTATCTTGATTGAGCACGCGAAAGTTTGCGTTGCTGTGACTGTATGCCCCAGGTTCTCAGGGGAAACTTCCGGTCGCATTTCAAGGACAGACGAACTAAATCAAGCGGAGCATTGGCCGCCCCATACGCACAACACCCTTCGTACTGTCAGACAACGCGTATGGACGTCCACCGTCTACAATATCGTGGAAGTCTCACTGCCTGTGATACAGAGTGTGGTCAACGGTGGATGGAAAATAGTACCAATGGGAGGTGACTTGTGTTGGCCTATAGCTACCCGGAAAATCGGTCGAAAAACTGCTAAGTCCATTCCCCCTTTCGACTTAGTGCATTTTGGCCAATTTGGCCTAATTTTGCCTGCATTATTTTTTTGACTCGTAAAAAGGGCAAAACAGAAACCGCCGATGGGGCTCGAACCCACAGCCTTTGCCTGATCCAGGAAGTTAGGAAGGCAATGCACTACCTTTGTGCTACGGCGGCTTGGAAGACTAGTTAAATGTTGGTGGTTATATTCAAGCTGCAGATGAGAGATATCACGCTTCTTTAGACCTTCGCACTTGGCTTCGATGCCTACCTGGAATACAACCTCCCGAAGAGCTGGGAAGCCCAAGCCTATAGCTATGGCGGCGACACATCGGGCGGGACACCCAAACAATAGGAGGATGGCAGAGACTGGAGGAAGGGAATCATTGCACTAAAACCTAGTGCTGGGCCAAGATGAAGGCGGAGCGCAGCAAGCTTACTCGCCCAAGTGATCAGTTAGGTGGTGAGGAGTTCAAGAATGAATGATGAATCAGGGTTTTGTAGATTAGCAGACGGCGGCCGGTAGACGTTCATGCGTGGGAGTAAGTAACAAAACCCTTTAAAAGAGCGCCCTCAAACTCCCGGGCCCGTGCGTGTGGGGGGGAATCACAGAAGATCGACTGGTGGTACATTTTCAAATCGCTCCATACATCATAAAGCGTCGATTATGAGATACAACAACTCGATTAACCGTTAATAGCAACGTCTCCCCCAAGCAACGTCTCGAAACTTGAGGATTCCGCGCTCTTCACACGAAGGCATGAGCTGGGAGATCCGGGGAGCCAGTGACGGAGATTTTATCTGTATGTTGATCACCTGCAAAGTCGCAAACTGTTCGTCGGCCAGTTTTGTATCAAGCAACCGCCATTTGTTAGCCATGATGCTGTTGGTCCCATAGTCGTCGATGACGTCCAGACGAGTAAGATTGCGGGATCTGACATGTAATATGGCCGATAACACCGTGCTCCCAACGTCCGCGTAACCGCTGAATACCAGATCCAGACGCCGAAGGTCTGTACTGTAACGTAGGCCGGTGGGGGTAGTGTCTGTGGAGGAAGGAGATTGTTTATAATTCACATCGGGAAGAGAGAGTGACAAACCGTGATGGTCGAAAGATTGAAACCCAGCTGACTGCAGGCGTAGATACTGCAAGGCGCTGCCGACATGAGATAGGTAGTTTTTCAAGGCGGTATCTTCCCTCGGGATCCCGCGTACTGAAAGCGACGAAAGAACGGGGATCACATCGAGAGACATGATGGCTGAGAAAAGTTCTTCTGAATTGTTTGCTGCTAGAGTCAATGATTTCCACAGAGGAGGATAGGGCCCTGTAACGTCTGGCTCGGAACCCGATGAGGTGGACACCTTGGCGAAGCGATCTTTAAACATCCAACGGAGCGTCAGGCTTTCCAACGACGGAAATAACGATACAACGCGGAGGATAGAGCTCAGCGGAGGTAGGGGGCTCGTCGTGAATGCAGGCTCCAGCACTGTTGAGGAGCGCTCAAAAATCAGGGCAGAGATCGTTGGAAATGTCCTGGCGAGAAAGGCGGGGTTCTGGAAATGAATCGCGCGCACGCGCAATGCAGTTACTTGTGGTAATGGACCTAGCCTTTCAAGGGCTTCATCCAAGGCCGTTCCCTCTAACCACAGGCTGATCGAGCGAATGGAGTTGAGAATGGGGAAGAGAGAGTTGCCGACGACGTTGAAGAAGGTTCGAAGGGCGCGATCATCGAATTCGACATCCCCGAATAATATGTATCGGCTAGATGGAAGCCAATGTTTGCAGACAAGCCCGCATGCAGCAACGGTCCGTCGTTCAACGCTGCGCGGATGGCCCATCTGAAATTCAGCGAGGATGAGATCAAGAATCTCTCGCGGTGCGTTTTGGGCCATTTTGTTGGATAAAGGATAGATATGATAAGGGCACGGAATGGGATGATGCAGTCTTCGACCGCTCTGTGACCCCTCTGGCGAAATGCGAGGAGAGGGTGTGAGTGGGGGGAGATTGAGCCCGACCTGGACACGGCTTCGTCTGGCACAACGACTTTATATAACTTGTGAAGCCACGCGTTCGGCACGTATATCAAGACATGCGGGCCGGGCTGTTGACCGACTGGGAGAGACAGCAACGCGCAAAGCCGGTACGCAGTGAGAATCCCGCCCATGAGGAGGTAACTCTGAGCAGCGAAGCGTAAGCCGCAGTAGAGGATGTGCAGGACCAAAAAAAAGGAGGACTAAAGGACGAGGAAACGAGAAAAACGCGGGCGGGAGAAGACGTGATGGACGTGCCTCAGATAATCGATGTCATTTGGTATAGATCGTGCAAACTTTATAAAAACTCTTAAGAGCCCAAAGCTTCGAGTGAGGGAGTTGCATAGCCTAGATGGTGTTCATTTCAGATCATTTAATACATCGTAAAATATGGATCGAGAAATACAACACCCTCAGTCTAAATCCACCCGAAGAGACCCAGGGGGTTCAGACGAAGCAACTATGCGAAGAATTCCGCGCTTTTCAGACGAAGCCATAAGGTGAGAGATCCGAGCAACTAGTGATGCAGATTTCAAGTGTATGTTAACCACCTGCAAGCTTGTGAACTGTCCCTCAGCGAGTTTTGCATCAAGCAGCCGCCATTTATTATCCATAATTGTGCTGCTTCCAAAGTCGTCGATGACGTCCAGACGCATAAGATTGCGAGACCGCACATGCGATACGGCCGACAAAACTGTGCTCCCGACGTCCCCGTAACCGCGGAATACAAGATCCAGGCGCCGGAGACCTGGGCTGTACTGCAAGCCAGTGGGGGGAGCCTCTATAGAGAAAGGGGAAAGGTTTTTAGAATGTGAACAGAGAGATACAGAGAGCGACGAACCGGACTCGTTCAAAGAACGAAGAGGGTCTGACTGCAGCCGTAGGTAGTGCAATGCACTACCGACATGAGAGAGATATTTTGTCAAGCCGGACGTTTCGGTGGGGTACGTCCCGCGCAATGAAAGCGACGAGAAAACGGGGATCACATAGAAAGACATGATAGCCGGGAAAAAACTGTCTGGGGCGTGGTCTCTCATGTCTTCATAATGCTCCATGGAGTCTTGAAGGTCGTCGAGATGGACAAGGGATTTGGGATCCAGAGTCAATGAATTCCACCGAGGAGGAAATATCCATTGCGAAGGGAGGGGATCCTCAGACGACACGCGCACTGAATGGAGAGTCAAGCTTTCTAAGGTCAATGCAACACGGAGGATAGAGGTCAGCGTGGATGCGGAGCTGCGAAAAATCAGACCCGAGATTGTTGGAAATGTTCTTGGGAGAAGGACGGGGTCCCGGACATGAGCGGCGCGCATACGCAAGGTATTTACTCTTGGCAATGGACCCAGCCTACGAAGGGTTTCATCCGCGTAAAACGGCCGATCTGAAGATAGACCAATCGAACGAATGAAGCCAAGGATAGGGAGGATGGACTTGTCCACGAGGTCGAAGAACGATTCAACAATGCGATTGTCGAGCTCGACATTTGCGAATAATCTGGATCTGCTGGATGGAAGCCAACGCTTGCAGACAAGCCCGCATGCCGCGACGGTTCGTCGTTCAACGCTGCGCGGAGTGTCCGTCGAGAAGTCTGCGAGGATTAGGTCGAGAGTCGCTCGGGGTACATTGTGGGCTGGTTGTGTTTGAGATTACATAACTTTGTCATCGCATCACCAAAACGTGACTGAGTCGAGGTACCCTCGCAGACGTGATCCGACTCCGGCCTCGCCTTTATTAGCGCGTCTTGAGGGCAGCTCACCCCACGTACAGCTCTTCCTCCCCCACAATCTAGCCTTCGCAATGCCATCTCCCAACCGCGACAAACTGGGTCCTCCCGCCTGCGTCGATTGCCACGCAGTGCTGTGTATCACAACTTCACAATGCACGGACCAGTGCGTCGTTGTTGCATGCAGCGACGACGATCCTATCTGCGAAATGGAATGCCCTGGTGGTCACTGTGATCTCGTATGCGAAGATGCATCCAACTGCAAGGACTGCAACGGGTTCGATGAGTTTGTACGCCCGAATCCTCATCTCCATCGGATCTGCGTGACTCATGCGATTTGCAGCTGCAATGCTGTACAGATTTCCATTCATACTATGAAGAGCCCCGAAACAATACTGCAGAGACCCCTTGGGCGTGGGATCCGTCCCTCAAGACATTCGTCTGTCCCTGTTCAGGGCGGAGCACGATGGATTGTATTCCCTCAGACAATTCCGCAATCCCGGAAGCCGACAGTGATTTTCCACCCATGGATGATACCACCGTCTCTACGCCCAGCTATCTACAACCCCCCCTCCGGCGGCATTGGACTCTCAGTCGTCTTCCATCCCCTGCATGTGGGGCGACTGTGGCGCAGTCGTTCACGGGTCTCACTGACCTTGCTGAGCATGTCAATCTGATCCATCTATGTCATCCCCTCACGCCCATCGCTGCCCATGACATCCGAATCCGATCTACGAGACCTTTCGTGCCGTTGGAAAGACTGCGATGTATACCCCACTCCAGATTCAGTCCCGGGGCCCTCGTCCGGCGGTACGGACTCGATGTTGTGTCTTTTGGCGTCCCATCTCTTGCATGACCATCTTGGGTTGAACGACGTTCCTCCTTGCTCTCACTTCCCCGGACAAACACTTCCCTGTCTCAACAATCCCACTTCCTCAGCGTCGGCTCATTCCTCCCTCCATGAAGGCGCCGCGCCTCATCCCTGCCTCTACAATGGTGAATCGGCTCATTCATGCCTTTGGAACGGCGAATCGGCCCATCCTTATCTTCAGAATCCACAAGCCTGTGAATTGGGTCTGCCCGAACATCAGAACGCATCCTGCGCTCCGACAGTGCCAGAACCCCCGAGTTCGGTCGACAGCCCAGCCGGGCATGTCTGCAGATGGTCATCATGCGGGCAGAGCTTTGCCTCTTTAGACGAGCTCACCCAGCATTTGACTGAGGCCCATGTCGGGTCCGGAAAGACATCGTATGATTGCTTCTGGCAAGACTGCTCCAGACACAGTGATAATGGCTTCACGAGCAAGCAGAAGTTGTGTAGACATCTACAGGTATCTTCGTTGCTTGTATCATTTTCCGTGGCTTACATCCCCGCAGTCGCATACGGGCCACCGGCCGTTTCAATGCAAAGTCTGTCAGCAAA